AAATATATTGGCAAATATAACTGAATCGCTTGAGTGAATGGTAGAAAGAACATGAGAAATTGTCAAATAACCAATTTGGTTTTCAAAAAGGAAAATCTTTCACTGACTGTATCTTTATATTGAACGCCGGCATATCTAAGGTGTTTAATTCCAAGCAAAAACTCTACTGTAATTTCATCGATCACGAGCAGTGTTTCGATAAAATTGACAGGCAATTTTTGTGGCAAAAGTTGATAAATGAAAATGTAAGAAGTAAATTTGTTATGGCGTTAAGGTCCATGCAATCTGCAGTGAAGTCATGCGTGCGTTATAATTCAGAAGTCTCTGACTTTATATCTTCATTGGATTAAAGCAGGGAGACCACAGTTCGCCTCTTATGTTTATGTTCTTCATAGAACATAAACAGTGATTTAGATGATGTCATAACAATTGATGACGTCAAACTCTTTTTGATATTATACGCGGATGACATGGCTTTATTCGCTACATAACAAAAATCTCTACAGTCTATGCTTAACGATGTCGAGAATTACTGCTCTACATGGGGTATGAAAATAAATGTTAACAAAACGAAGGACATGGTTTTTGGAAATGACAGAAGTACTTTCGCAATTTTTATATATACGGTTAAAAAATTGAATTGGTTAACTCTTTTAAATATATCGGTGTAAATTTTTCAAGAATGGTAACTTGGCGCGCACACAGAACTAATCGCCGATCATTTCTCGTTTACACTGCATAACCTGTTTTCTATTTTTCGACAAATTGAATTGTCTAACTCAGAAAAGATTCATTTATTTGCTGTGTTAGTTGGATCCGTGTTGAATGTTTGCTCAGAAATATGGAGTACACATAAAGCCACTGATATCGAAATGATACACTTAAAGTTCTTGAGGTACATTCTAGGAGTGCGTAAATCAACAAACTTATCAGCCTTGTATGGGGAGCTTGATAGAGCCCCTTTAAACATTTACCGAAAAATAACTATTTTGAAATATTGGAGAAAACTAATTTCGCATGACCACTTATCACTAACGTTCAAAATATTCAGTGTCTTAAAATTTGACGCGGATAACAACGTCACGTATAGAAACAAAAATTGGACTTCACATGCAAAAATGAAGAGCATGGTTTATGCATGAAATAATCAAATTATGGATAATGTTATTTCTGATATAATAAAGCGTAGAATCCTGGATACTGATAAGCAATCATGGTGCGCAGAAAAAAAATTCCCCGCGATTACAAAACTATAGTTTATTTAAACACTTTTGAACGCAAGACATATATTGATTGTATAATAGATAGAAAATATATGACAACTTTATCGAAATTTCGGGTATCTGCACATAAGCTATTTATAGAATCGGGAAGACATACGGATACTCCGCGGGAGCAACGGTTATGTAAGTCCTGTAACATGAAGATAGTTGAAAAGGAGTTTAATATTTTTATGGTTTGTACTAGATATAGAGAGCTTAGAAAAAGTTTTTAGAGGGATATTTCTGTAGGTGGCCGACTATTAATAAATTTGAATCTTTATTAAATTCTAAATCGAAAATAGAACTAATCAACCTTTCGAAGTTTTTATATTTGCTAATAAAAAAAAAAATATTGAGTTAAATTTACTTATAGTCATCAAGAATATATTGATGAGTATTAATAAAATTGAATCTTTATTAAAATCTTTATTAAATTCTAAATCGAAAAAGAGCTATACAATCTTTTGAAGTTTTATATATTTGGCTAAAAAGAAAGAATATCTTGATGATGTAGTATCAATTATTCAATGTCATATCAACATCTTGGTGATGAAGTATCACTATCATATTTAAGTTGTAAGTATGAAATATTTAATTTTTGTGCAACCTGCTATTTCCTCAGTATTTTAAGACCTTTCAGGAAATAATGTTGTTACCTTTTTTCCATTCCATGTCAGATCGCATCTTCATAATATGTTCATATGTTTGTTTTGCTATAAACATTGTACTAAATTAAATGTTTTATCTGCAATAAAGTGGTTTGTATTTGTTATATTGTATGATTGTAATACCTATAATTTTAGTTTATTTCATTTATTGATATGCGTGTACCATTTTTCAAATTCATGCATGTATATATTTTTGTTGTATATGAAGATGAGCTGTATATGCTTTATTCAAAATAAAATATATGTTCTGTTCTGTTCTATAATTTGTCACTTGTATTATTTGATATACAACTCGCGCGGTTCGTCCGTGACCAACTGGTTTAAGGCGTTGTTTTAAGTCACTACAAACTCACAGCTGTTTGTCCGAATCTTGGCAAGGACTTTGATGTTTAAGATATTTAACACAATCTTATTTGAATAAAATGGTTAATTGCGCTTTGTTTAAGCTTACTTGTCGTTAAAACATGATTTCTTGTAAGTAATATCCTAATAACAGATGAAAGAAGGTAACTTAAGGACACATAAAGCAAAATTATTTCTCATAATGTGTAAGCATAAAATATTATATTTTGTTTGTTTCATTACTATATAAAATATGAAGGGAAAAGAACCTTAAGCACATTTACAGAATGATCTTCTTAATTTCATTCATTTTAGTCATATCCATCTTAACAGGCAGATGAAAAATATATGAGAAAAACGAAAATAAAACTTACTTATTATAATATGACATTTTTATATTTCATCTTTTTTCCAAATTGCAATTAATAACAAAATTCAAATTTCAAGCGGCTTTACTCCATAGTTGCTAAAATATTTGGTGTAGCTGAGTTGATTCCCTTTGTTTGGGAAAAAGAAAGAACGCGATACCGAATATATAAACGATGAATTAAAAACAAAATGCAAATTATTGTAATTGTAATTGTCATGGCTATTATGATTGTAACTGTTATGGGACATTTGATAAGTGGGCAATTTTATTTTGTTAAAACACATGAAGTATTATACTGTCTCCCGCTTGTGACACGTTTAAAATATCAGTCATAGGTATTAGACAAAAAAAATAGGACGAACGGAAAAATCACCAAACTTTTTGCATAGCCTGGTTACAAATATACATTTAAAGAACTTATGTGTGCATGCTTTTTGTATTTTTTTCTGTACCTGTATATAACTCCAGTACTCCGCAACTTAAAACACCTTCAATGACAGAAAATTCTTTGTGTAAAAGAAAAATGTAGTCATTATAATCTTAAATTCTTACAGGCACAGTTCTTCATTAGGTCAATAAGAAATATTCTCACTGCTGTGTTCTGCAATATATTCCCCAGCACTTGATGCCGTATTTAGCAGTAGAAATCTCTCTTGTGTTTTGGGCATTACATTTTTTTAATTTCTTAACTTGGGCTTGCAGTGTAAGAGTAATAAATATGAGTTTAATTGTAATAGAATTGTAATACCTATAATATGATATTGAATGGTTTTTTTGTATTATTTGGTCTTTGACCAACTGGTTAATATTTTTTTTTAATCACTTGCAATTTACAGCAAGTAAAAGTCGTAAAAAACTTTGATCTGTATAACGACAGTAAGAAGAATAAAAGAAACAAAGTGAAAAATTATTTCTCACAACGTGTCAGCATAAAACATTAATTTAGTTTTTGCTTCATAGAAAAAAAAGAACACATAACGAACACTCACAGAAAGATATTTGAAATTCCATTCAGTAATATGATTTTAATCATTCTTCCCTTCTGAAAAAAATATGGGAAAACTTTTTTAAAGAATCCCCTTTCGAACAAAACAAAAAAATTCAATACAATTAAATTGCAGCGAGTTCTTTGTATAAATATGGTATATACGAGTTGATTTCCCTTTGTTTGGGGGAAAGGAAGAACGAGATATCACATGTAAATTACAAAAAAGATTAACGTCTACAAAAATTGTAATTATCACGATTATGTATAATTGTTGTGGGACATTTGATGAGGGGCCCGATTCTATTAATTATTTGCATTATGTATTGTCCTGTTTCCCGCTATTAACACGCTTTAGATGTCAGTCAGGGGCAGTACAAAAAATAAACTAGATGAACGAAAAATCACTAAAGTTTTTTTTTTTACATAATTTGGAAACTGACAAACAGCTTAAAAAACTCATGTATGCATGCTAGTTTGATCTTTAACTGTAAACTTTATTTACAGCAGTTATAATGCTGATTAACATGTAACATCTGTAATTCAGTCAAGATGAAGACAAATGTTATAATATTTTGATGGTAATATTGTTTTTTACATTAATGTCAACAAGCTAGTTTGTACGAAAGCGTCATGGTCAGTGGCGTAGCGCGGCCTAAAGTAATTATACGCCTTGGGGGTGGGTTAAGGGAGGGGGTGTCCCCCTCCCATTGTAAATGGCAGGGGGTTCGGGTGTCTTCCCCCGAGAAAATTTGGAGTTATAGATGCAAAATAACGCAATCTGGAGACATTTGGCAACATATTTAATTCCCTTCTGAGTGTATAAGTTTAATACTGAATTTTTTGAACGTGTTAAATAAAATGATATTATGTAAGCCTCTGGCGAGCATAATATTATTTTATTCAACTCGTTCAATAAATTTAGTGATGAACTTACACGCATTTAATATTCTATTTATCACATACCAAAAACAAAGACCGTTTGAAGTGATAAAGAAACAACTTTCATTGAAGCGCCTAAAGTATATCACCAGAGACAGACATAGTTGTTATCTATGTCTCTGTAACACTAACATTTAGAGCGTCTTAACGTTATGTTGATGTAACGCAAATGATGTCTTGTCAAAATATATGCACGACCGTGCAATACCATTTTTACAGAGTCGCAAAATCGGCACGGGTATGTGATATCTATGATATCTATGCAGAGATGGTTATTCTCTGAAGACAAATGCAAGGCGGCGTTGTTTTCTTGCCGCAAATTTATCAACTATATATTCAGAGTTTATTTTCATGTCTCTGTAAACATTCAGAGACTAGTAGTTAAAGCAACCCTTTACACTTAACCTAGAAATGAATGACGATCTGTTTAACTGCAAAACCAAAAAAGTGGGTAATCATAACAAATAACTACACTAAAGCAATTTCCGCAGCCATATATCAATTACAGTTACATAGTTCACACTTACATAAAATGAGCGTATATTTAGATTTGGCAAAGTAATCAATATAAAAGTTCAATTACTTGAGATGGAATAAGATTCTGGGCGAGGTATCTATCGTTCGCTTGCAGGATTCGATCCGACAGGTCTGTTATTAAATGATCTGTGAACGGGAGGTACATGTTCAATCGCCAAAACTCTGAGGGTGTATCTGCTGGAACATTGGGGCGATTTCGCTGACGACCGTTACTTCTGGGCATACTGGGTTCAACCCCCACAGTCCTTGCTATATTCACAGCTTTATCATACAATGCTTCCCATACAGTTATATCATTTCTCTTGTTCTGAAATGCAAGTACATTAGGACAGATATAGAATTGCCAAAATTTACCGTAATTATGGTATATGTAACACTAAATGACCAAACGGACCTTCGGTTTAAGTGTAAATGTGTCTTGAATTATTTCTATTGCAAATATAATATTATGAAACTGTTGATTGATACATTTGGTATTACAGTCCATGTACAATTGTTTTGTATCAAATGCAATGCGACATCAAACTATTTAGTGTAGCAAGTACCTGAAGCATTACTTTCTGCGTCTTAGCCTCTTGTGAAGCTTTTAGAAGATCACACGTTTTCTCCTGTAAGTTTTCAGACAGCTGCACAAGCGACTTGATACAATGTTCCGTCGTCACTAGAGTGATTACAAATTCAAATGTTGACACCGATAGTAAGTAGGCAGCAGCTTTTGCGTCCCCGTCATCTGCAAGGAACTCCAATGCACTTACTACGGTGCTTGAAAAAAAGTATTTAGTTATTAAATGTTATACCAACCTTGTTTTATGTTATTTGTTACTAGTTGCCGATGGGATACTAATATACGGGAGAATATAGCCCGGATGAGATAAATATGAACCGAGGCTATATTCTCACGTGATTCGGTCAGCAACTTGTACATGTATAACGAATTTATAGTAATGCAGATTGTTATTGGCGGCAAGTTCATTAAAATATAAGTTTACACATCTTTCATAGGAGCCCGGGAAAAGAGGCACGTAAAGAATATGGCGTCAGACGTTAAATGGCTACGCGAATGCTGCGCAATTAAAAGTTATTCAAGTCATCATTGCGGTTGTACATTTTTGGAAGTAATGGCATTCGAATATAATATAATATGCCATAAAGAATAGTAATAAATTTTATCCAGACACGTAAATAGTTAACCACCTACGTTGGAAAAAACATTGTTTTCCGTGATTCACGATATACAGGGCATACTAAGTAAATTGTTTACAGCTGATCAGAGTTGCATTATTATAAATTATGATACATTCTATATGCTTTATACATAGTCACAGAAATGATATACTGAAGCTTAAATGTTCAGTACGTAATTCGGCATAATTGAATACATTGGACCCGTAGTTTGTTATTAATTGAAAATGAATCCGAACTCATTTATTCATTCACCAAAACCATTTATTTGTTACTACAATTGTATTTGGAAGTTAAAAGAAAATATCAATAATCAAGCCACCTGAAAAAATATTATTGAGACAGTTACTGTAGTCAATTCACGCCTATTCTATACATAACGAAAAGAAAAAGGTTTCAGACAAAATGCAAATATTCTAACATGTATATCTACCTGTAAGAACAAAGGAATGTGTCCAGTGCTTTAGCTCGAGCTGTCCACCGTGTGTCACAAAGATTGACCAGTTTCGATCTGTTACCCATAGCTTCTGTACTCTGAGGGTCGGTTTCAAGTGTATCCTATGACCAATAAAGAAATAACAGTTTATACTATAAAACTAATATGCATACTCTGAAACGACAGTGTTTACTGTATACCATATATATAAAATACAGTGTTAACTATGAAAAATTTTCATTGAAAATACAGGATAAACTTGGAAACTGCAGGATATACTATAAAACTACATGGTAAACTATATAACTAAAGATACTATGAAACTAAAATGTATACTATGAAACTATAGATACTATGAAGCTACATAAACAGACAAGTCACACACATACGAACATTCAGTAATTATTTATTGCAGATGTTTCGGCTATATGCCGTCATCAGTGCAAAACAAAATAATTTTTTGAAGCTACATGATATATTATGAAACTGATAGATACTATGAAACTACATAGTATACTATAAAACTACGATGTATACTATTAAACTACATATTACTATGAAACTACAAGATATACTATTAAACTACAGGGTAAACTATTAAACTACAGGGTAAACTATTAAACTACAGGGTATACTATTAAACTACAGGGTATACTATTAAACTACAGGGTTAACTATTAAACTACAGGGTAAACTATTAAACTACAGCGTATACTATTAAACTACAGGGTATACTATTAAACTACAGGGTAAAGTATTAAACTACAGGGTATACTATTAAACTACAGGGTAAACTATTAAACTACAGGGTAAACTATTAAACTACAGGGTATACTATTAAACTACATATAAACTATTAAACTACAGGGTAAACTATGAAACTACAGGGTAAACTATTAAAGTACAGGGTATACTATGAAACTACAGGGTATACTATTAAACTACAGGGTATACTATGAAACTACAGGGTATACTGTGAAACTGCAGTGTATAATACTATGAATCTTCATTGTATAAAATACAACAGGTTTACTGAATTCAGAAATTAATTTCTTTCTACTTTTTTAACAAATAAATTTTAAAAAAACTGCTATGTATACCTGATATTTCAATAGCCTCTTTGCAGAGTAATTGAAAGCAAATGCCACAGTTTGAACTGTTCCCATCATATTCTTAACGAACGTTTCGCTGCAGGCGTGCACGATGGCGAGGTTCAGACAGTGTGCCTTACAGTGTGTGTACACAGCATTAGGGATCTGTTGTTGTATTCTTGCTTGTACGCCTTTTCTCTTCCCAGACATGTTTCCAGCACCATCGTAGCCCTGACCAACCATCTGTGCTGTTTGTACACCTTTTGAAGAGAAAATAAGCTTGTTAGAGTATTGATCGAGCCCTGGCAAATTCCTTTCAAAGTTTCCCACCTTACTAGAAGGTGTAATGATCAGAATCCAGACATTCCTTGCTCCTTGCAAGTTCCGCTGTTATATACTGCAAGTGCGCTAAAGACCCAATTGGGTGTATTCAAAACACCCTTTAAGCTGAATATGTTTCTCTCGAATTTGTCTGCACGATCTGTCAAGCACTCAAACGACTTGGATATTTCGTTCATCTACCTAAGAAGGATTTATTATAAAACGTTTTTGTACTGATATTTAGAAGAAAAATTAAACACTGACTTGAAAACAATTCATATCAAACAGTCCCTTTGCGATTTTATCCGAATACAGGAATTAACCTAGCATCATAATTTTGATTAAGTATCTATGATAATAAATAACAAACCTATTCTGACTAAATTTTCAAGAAACGCACTTGCTAGATATTCTCCTGTACTACTTGAACATTCTGCAAACCCCAAGAAATCTTCCTGTACTTCATCATTGCAGACGTTATCTGGAAATATATAAATTGTATATCAATTAAACCAAAGCATAAATAAAAGTTAACCAATGTTTGATATGATGTAAATTGACTGTGATAAGATTGAATATAGGAAATAACATAATGAGTGTGGATAAAAACAGTTGTGGGATTTTTATTGTAATTGACACAATTTTTATTAGCAAATCAATTAATTATATATTGCTTGTTCTGAACATTAAATTTAATATAATTTTGTAGTACATGTAATTATTTCAACTCGGGCTCGGCTATAACTTTATATATATTACACTTTAGTTCAGTGTATCACAGGATGTGACTGTAATCCCCATACTTTTAGAAAGGGACTAACGGACGACATACCTTTACGTTATAAGCAACATATCTGTGCAGTTTTATGGAAACAATGAAAAGATGAGCGGACACGGGACGGACGGCGGACGACGAAGCTTCAACAGTATTATTATTGATTTAACTCAAAACAGGATTGGAACAGTACATCTTGGCGCTTTGCGGAAATTATTATCAGAAAATGGACAAACATCGTTTTTTTCCGCCGATTTTCAAATACATAATCGGTGTGAAAAGATGAATTAGACCTTTTAAAGTTCATTCCGTTGGGTATAAAGGCAAGTTTTTAGCAATTTATCATTCAAGCGCCGTGTCCGATATATATACCGGAAAACGGTATTTAGTGTGGTGCTCCAATCCTTTTTTTAGTCACACTCTTTCATTATTAAGGGAATGGTTATTTGAGAATATGTGCATATTACGTAAAGGTGATGGAATCATTGAAGGTTCTCTGAATGTGCATATCTACAACGAATCAGTTTCAGCATTTAAAAACTTTAAAATTAAAATTACCTGACACATAAAGACATTTGTTCTATCGTTGCAGCATCGGTCGCCTCGTCTGCTATGAGAGAAAACATGCCACTTGAATTGCATCTTTCCACAAGCTTATCTCTGATAAATTTCCCACACAAATCAATTAATTCATTTTGAATAGTAGGTGATGTGTATTTTATGTTCGGATCCACATTATCCAGATGGGTTTTCAGAAGTGCCTGGTGGTGAAGAAGAGCAATAAAATTCCCTTTACCTTCTTTGTCCCTATGTCCCCTTAAGGGAAGATTTTGCTAGATTTTTCAGTTTTTATTATAGACCTAGGTAAAAATAAAAAAGAATAATGATATTTAATGTAATTTGATAGAAAAACATACATTTGAATATAATTTAATGACAAAATGCATGTTTTACATGGGGACGCCATTTGAATTTTCCCGCTAGTATAACTTTTTATGTAAACAACATTCGGAATACAATAGGATTCTACGATAAGATACCAAAAAATAAATACGCATAACACTGTCTTACCTAAAATAGTACTAGCTGTTCTAGTAGACTACACTTGCAACAAAAAATGCCGATACATTATTTAAAACGCTTAAATAACAAAATATTTTTTGTCAGCAAATCATATTTTCTTCGCCAAAACTCACGGCGATGCCTAACACGGGCTAGGGTACTGATTTTGACAACTGTTTTCAACTTTTAAGACTTTTGATTTTTTAAAATTAATTTTCGTTTAGTACGCCTATGCCCGGCTACGCTACTGATGGTGCCAATGTATAATGTAAAACCTAATAACTCCTACGCAGAACTTTATAACTCCTTTAAGCATTAAAACAAGAATTTAAAACTCGAACGTAGAAATATTGATCACTGCACCGAGTAGTGCCCATTTTTTGTCAAACGAGCCCTTATCAGCTAATAGGTCTAAAATGAGCACATTTTTCAAAAATGATTATTGTTCCGAATATTGATAAAAACAACAGTAAAATAATCATTTGAATAGTCTAATGGAATGATGCTGGTAAGAAAAATGTTGATTAAGTTCTAAGTAATAAAGAATGAACATGTTTAATATATACTTATAAATGAAATATTGAGAAATATTGACGAAATAAAATACGTATTTTGATTTTCCGTATTTTCACTGTAAAAATTTATTTTTCACTGCAGTGAAACATATTTTCCGTATTTTCACTGGTGTCTTGCCGGACTACTTTCTTTTAAATTCTGCCAGTACTTAAAATCTAAGGGAAAGTCTTTCAAATTTTAATATCCAGAAAGAGAAAAATGTATATAATAAACAGAAAATTCAAGTTTTTTCTATAAATACATGATTTATTTTCATCTTGTGGCATGAAAATTACCATATTTCACTCGTGGCTACCGCCACTCATGAAATATTTATTTTCATACCACTCGATGAAAATAAATCATGTATTCATAGAAAAAACTTGAATATCCTCTATATATGAAGATTTTTTATTCTGTTCAAGAACATTTTATTATTCGCTATCATTTATTTATATATTAAATATATCATATGATATCTAATATTTGTCAACAAATTCTGTGTACAATTTATTCGTGGTTTGTTGTTATGTCTAATATTACATATTATTAAAATAAGTGTTCGTTGTATGATACATCTTTACTTAAATGCCACTCTTCTTTTTACATGATCAAAGTAAAATGATATATGTTAAAATAACTGTTACTAACTGATCTACAATCTGCCTTTTTGTGTGCAACATAATTCATATGACTTCCACTTTCACATGTTTTATAAGTGACTGGAATATTCTTGCGCTTGTCTTTGTGAAAAAGCAAGACATAAAACTTTGAAAAAGATTTTAATGTTCTTTTATAATACAACATTTATTGTATGAAGATTTCGGTGATTTTCCCTTGGTGGCTCGGTAAATATCACATTAGCCAGGTCTCCATAACTTGGATTCGAAGATTACCAAGCATTGATTGAGTGTTCATTTAAAAACAACTTTTGAATTTAATAATCTACACATGAAACGCAAAAGAAATGACATAGGTAAAGATTATGTTCATTTTTAACTCTCGGACGATTTGATTGACTTGTACAATAATAACAAGATCATTAGTGTCTGGTAGATTCACAAATGAGTTGTTATAAAGTTTTTACCTTGTTCAATTGACATGAATTATTTCTATACAAATGAGTTAGACACTTGTTCTGCCTCGTTTGCAGTCGATTAGTGCGAAACGTAGTCTGTTCTATCAAATTGTCGTGTTCTTTACCATAATGGTGTTTTATATGGGAATATACACAATAAGTTACACATTGAATAATAGTTGCTCACTTGTTAAATTTTATGATAAAACTGGTCAAATGAGTACATAAAGGGCACTTATGTTGGATCATTGTATTTATTTTCTTGAACAGATTATATTATATCTGGCCTCGTGTTCACAAAGATTTAAGGATCAGGATCAAGATCAGGATCAAATGTAAAAACTCAAATATTCTCCATAATGATTATTTATCCTCATAGATTAAAAGTTCAATATTAACTTGATCATATGGACTTGAAATAGCATGTTTAAGAAATTTTAGAATAAATTCAAATTTTTTTACAAGGTACGGCATTTTACAGTTGATCCAAACTTCGAACCTAATCCTGAAATTGATCCTTTTTTTGATCCGATTATTTTTCTATTTGTTTAGTTATTTGTTGATCTCCCAATTGCAAATAAGCAATTATTTATATTTCGAATATGTACCATTTCATTTTTAAATTAGCATAATACGATCAGTTTTAGTTTAAAAAAAACAATGAAAATAATATCAGGATCGTCTGTTTGTTCAATATTAACCAAATTATTTCGTCATATTTAAAGTTCTTGAAGATATTTCAACTGAGATCGGAAATGTGGTTTCTTTTTCAATTTGCAAAAAATTGTTTTACCTTTTGTAATTTGTAAAATGGTACATATCATATCATGTTTAGTGTATTGAGTCACGTTGTAATAACGAAACATAAAATTGTACACATACGTGTAGATCTACGGAGCCCGTAAGGTTACATTTTTCACACATTTTTTCCCGAAACTTAATTCGATTTTGCGAAATAATAATTCGTAATTACGAAAAATAATTCGTAATTACAAAAAATTATTCGTAATAACGAAATATAAATTCGTAATTACGAAATGTTATTTCGTTATTACGAAATATTATTTTTTTTTACGAAATATTTATTCGTAATTACGGAATAGTTTTCGTAAATACGAAATATTAATGCGTGATTACGAAATATCAATTCTTTTTTACGAAATATTTATTCGTAATTTCGAAAAAAATTAATTCCTTTAACGAAATATTATTTCGTAATTACGAAATATCATTTCGTAATTACGAAAGAAATATTAATTTGTTATAACGAAATATTAATTCGTAATTACGAAATATTAATTTGTCAAACTGAAATTATATTTCTTAAAAACGAATTAAGTTTTTTCTAGTGTTTCAAAGAATTTTGGTAATATTTATGAAGAAGGCCCTGAAACTAAGTTTCTAACTAAATATAAGGCATGTTAGCCCTAAGGTGACAATTTCCACACTTTTTTCCCAGAACTTAATT